GCTATCTCAAGACAGGGATTTAGCAAAGCATTTCAACACAGCAGTTAGGACACGTCTCAGAGGTGAGGCTTCCAATATTTGGGAATTCTTGGCATTCTTGCACTTTGAAGCAACAGGAGGAAGAATTAATCATTCACTGTACCCTGTTCAGGAAAAAAAAACCTATCAAGTTAGTATTAAGAAATAATTCATGTTATCTCCTTGGATGTTTAAAGTGTTATGAAAACAAACATAAGATTCATCTTTCTCTTTCATATGGGGAGACTTGGAGGCTATAGCACACCTCAGTTAAAAGCTTCTGAAGCTGTACACATAGAAATTAAATTATTTACATGTTTGCTTACAATGAAAGCAAAGTAAATGGAATACATTCAATTTCAAATTTTCAAGTTGAATACATCACTGAAGATATTTGCAGTATTTCACAATTAATTTCCCCATGAGTCATAATCACCACATCTATTATGATCTGAAAAGGGAAGTTTAAAGGAACTAAATGGTTCCAGTTTTCTACAACCACATGACACGACATCTGTTTTGATAAAAAGTTGAAGATGCCAGACTACTCTAAATCTGTAATAACAGATTTTGGGCAAACTCTTAAGGTAAGAGAAAGCTTCAATTCATAAAAAGAATGACACAGAGACAGGGTAGTCCCGAAGCTTTTAAGACTGTGATTCTGCATATCAGGTATGATAAATTCTAAGAGTAGATATAGTGTGATATAAAATGTTATGTATCTTCCTCAAAGTTGTCAAAGTAATTAGTGTTTCCTCTGTTCCTAGCTAAGCTATAATATGATGAAGGAGGCTTCAGTTAACTTGGCTCTACTATGGTTCTAATTTTGCTAAACAGAGTAAGTTACCAAAATTAAAATAAGTGCAAAAATCTTWCTAAAGCAGTGGAGAAATATTTTAGCTCAGTCACTAAACAACAGTGTGCTTTCTGGACTAAGAACTGCTATAGAAAGTTCAAGCTCTGAAGCACCATCTAGATGCAGTTTTTAGAAGCCAGAAAAAAGTACAAAGAAGGAAAGCCAGAAGCCAGAAAAAAGTACAAAGAAGGAAACAATACACACCTGGCCCCATTCTCAGTCACCCTCACACTGAGATACTGCAGTGGAACACAGCACAGAGGCCTGTGTCACTTGACAGAATTCTGAATTTTCTGTAGTTTAAATGCAGAAAACTATTTCCAGTGTTCAGAGTATTTTTTACTTGATTGGACTCAAATTGGCAGAAACTGTCAATTACTCTAAACAGACCATAGTTGAGAATTGTCTCATTAGGCCCTGTCTCCACCACACAGAGGTGTCTCTTCACACTSTTTCTTTATTCAGAAGAGCTTTAACGTAGCCAAAGACTTATGTCAAAACGTTACAGAGTTAGTCCAAATCARATCATTAGACTGGTTCCAGAATGTAGTTACTCATTTCAGCAACGAATCTTCCCACTCCTAGCTCCAGAACTCAATGTATAAATAGTATCTGAATTTGAATACTTGGCTGTTCCTATCCCAAACTGAAGCTTGAAATATGGGGTWCACCTCCTACGGATTTACTGTAAGGACTGACTGCAGCAGGAGGAAAGGATGAACAAAAATAGTACTTCATCCAACCACTCACACCATTTATGGTGCTCCCGCCTACCAGACTCACAGCATTCTGAAGACACAGCATGAGATCACTTGTGATCTGATCCCAGCATCTAGTTTGTATCTCTGCTAATCAAAGTCACTGGACAATAGCTGTTCATATTGCTTGTAGAGCACCATCTGATAGTCAGAACACTGAATTCACTCTTCATAGGTGTTGATCTATGTCAGGACTCTTTTGCAAAGCTCTGCAAAGTTACCCATTCCTGACAGGTAATATACTGCGATACAGAACAGGAGTCACCCTGGAAGCCTCTAAGCAGCACACATTTCAGATTTTCCAGTCATTTACTTTTGTCTGTCAGATACTGACAGAAGGCAGGTCAAGTAGAACACAGTCAGGAGATTCTGTCATATTGTGCTATGATATCTTGCTATGGGGAATAAATTATTCTTCCTCAGAGGGACATGCAACCTGCCTCCAAAGCTTACAGGTTCACAGCTGATGAGTAGTACATACCTGTAGTCTATCACTCAGATGGACAGTAGTTATGTCTCTTTTAAAAACATGCGTATTCCTTCTAGAGAGGAACTGCACTTAAAGACAAAAGAGCAAATAGCACTAGTAGCACAGACACTGAATTATACTGTGAATATGCTACAACTTTGGATCAACCAACTGACTTTGCAGTGAAACCCAGGAACGTTCACAAAATCCCTTTCCCAGGGGTTAGCCAGGAAGCAGCTGCASACCTCAGCAGAACAATGGCAAACGCTCCCAGGTACATGGATTTCATCCCATGTGTTGGAAGCCAGCCTTGCATGAGATTTTTGGAAACTTAACAAAGACCAGCACCAGCATAACAGGGCATCACATAACAGGCATCAACATAACATAACAACACCAGGGCTTTCAGTGAATTATGTGGGAAGACCACCTTTGTTAAACACCAGCAAATTAGCTGGTCACATGTTTCCCCACTGTTCAATTTAAGTAAAAAACGCAAATTGTTACAGTCAGTTGTACAGACTGACCCATCCATGAGGCACCAAAGCCTGCTCTGCTCTAAGATACCCCAAGCTCTGCCCATGCCATCCATGGTGCCATTATGCTAGCAGGGCTGAGCAGTTCAGTAGGTTATACTTTACTGATTGTATAACATTTTCATGTCTCAATTCCTTACTCATTAGTTATTAGTAATTATAAGACTACTTCTGCCTGTCCAAATACAAATATGATATTTCAATATCTGACTTCATTAATAAAATAACTTTTTACTGAACAGTAAAAAAAAAAAAATTCAACATCACTTTAGAGCTTGAAGTGGGCGAAGGCAGTTTTGAGCTGCAAGMAAGTACAGGAGGCAGATTAGCTACATAAAGGCAGGAAAGAAGCAGAAGGCAAGTTCTTAGTGAGGCTGTTGTATTACAAGCAGTCTAGTTATTAACAGTTATACAGACCYAGTTTAGTTTCTCGTTCAAACCATGCCCACCACAGTTTAAAACAGTGAGCATACAGAAGTTTTACTGCACTCCAACAATTCTACCACCCCTCCCAAATGAGAAGATGACTCATGCCTTATTTTGTTTACGCTGTATTTCTTTAACAACTAAGACTGCAGTTCCTGCTCTCTATTATATCCAGGTAAGTCTAGCTAATGTCTATTTCATGGGTTTCCCTTTCAGTTTATCCTAAAGCAACTGAGAATAATCTGACAGCTACTTAGACATGCACTATTAATGAAGAACACTGATTATGAGAAAGAACGTGGAACTTCAATTATAAGTTGCTCAAATTTTGAGTAGCACACTAGCGTTTTCAGTGAATTATGTGGGAAGACCACCTTTGTTACGCACCAGCAAATGAGTTGGTCACCTGTTTCCACGTCGTTCAATATAAGTAAAAATCCCAAATTATTACACTCAAACTGGTACAACAGGTTTGCAACAATGTGTGTGTAATTTGTGACTTAAGTTGATAACTAGAATGCTCTGAACACTGACAACTCTTGTGGATAATCAAAAAGGCCAAACTGTCCCTCCTTTATATACAAAAATCTAAGAACACAAAACGTGCCTACGGTAAAGATGATTTTGACCAGCAGCAATAGTGAAGTGAATGTGTGCTTTCATTTACAATCTTGCATAAACACCATTCAACTCAAGAGGCCTGTTGGATACTTTTCCCTTAAGTATAGGAGACATAGAATTAAATATAACAGAAAGAGGCAAAACCAAATAATGAGACCACAGAGAAAAACTGGCAGAGTGTCACACAACCAGCATAAGGTCACTGAATTATTGAACCCAATACATCTTTTCACACTGGAGTTGAAATTTAAGTTCCTTTTCCTGCACCTCTTTCAGAAAGTATGCAACAGCTAGCACAGGCACGGCAGTGGAACGCCATAAAACCCTTCCTTATACTGAAATAAGAATTGTTACAGTAGTAGCTCCTCCACGGATCTCACCTGTGCCCGCTCAGCCTAAACGAACCCATGTATGCCTTGCCAGTGCAGATTTACCCCACAAACACTTGTGCCTACATTTGCACATTAAATGATTTTATATGCTGATCCCCGGGGATTACTGAAAATAATTAGGGAAGGTAAGTTTCTCTTCCAGGTAACAGGTCACATCTGCTAGTGCAAGCCAGCATCACACTGGAATGCTTGATGACTTAAGTTTTACTGACTTCTGAGGTCACAACATTGATACAAGAGAAAATAGGAATGTAATAGTGCAATTGATCACGGCAGAAGCCACCCCACAGAGTGCACTGTTTCGTGGTTGTATAGCCCCTGTTATATGAATGCATTTTCTGATAAAGGGCCTCGGTATATGACAACAGTCCATGCWAAGAAGAATAATTTCCGTGTCTATGTGTTCAGGTTAAATAACTAGTTCTGAAATTGCAACCTACGGCTATGCAGATTTACACTACCTGCCGCCCAAAGCAAACCTTAATTTACTCGGATTTAGATTATGCATGGGTGGAGTGGTGGACAAAAGCTGTAAATTACCATACTTTATCATGCTGGAAGAGGAATGTGCTATCAAGTATCACGCAACAATAAGTCAAAGGATGTCAAAAGTCCACACATGATGAGTAAACCCATTCGGCAGAGGGAGCGCCGACAGGCGTACGCGCTCGGGACCCTTCGCCTACAAGCCGGGGCGTGCCTGTACAACGCGGCCCCTGGCGCTGGAACAGCGTCCCGGGGAAGGAACACGGCAGGCCGGAGGCCGCCTCCATCCAAGAGCGGCCCCCCGGCCGGGCCGGGCCGCGCCCCGTCCCTCGGGCTGAGCGGCGGGCGGGCCCGCCTCGCCCTSCTCTCCTCTCCTCTCCTCTCGGCCGCGGGGCGCCGGCGGACACCGCTCGGCAGCGGCTGCGGGCCCGCGCTTACCTCCTCCGCCTCTTTCCCCAGCGGGATGCCCATGGCCCGRAGGCCCGTCTGGAGCTCGGCGATGTCCACCCTCCCGTCTTCGTTGAGGTCCAATTTCCTGAAGAGGCTGGCGTAACGGGAGTCGCCATCCCTGTTCCCGTCGCAGGCGGCCGCCGGCAGYACGAAGCCTCGCAGGAGCTGGAACATGTCGGGGCCGTGCAGCGCGGACAGACCGACAGCGTCCCTCGACTCCCGCCAGCTGGGCGCGGACGAGACACCGCCCGCGATGCTGCCACCGCTCACAGCTGCCAGGGGAGGGGAGAGGAGGAGACGGGAGGGAAAGAGGGCCGGGCCGGGCCCGCCCGGCGGCGAGGGGCGGAGTGAGGGGAAGCGGGAGGGCGGGCAGTGCCGGGGCTGGCCCCGCTCCTCCCTCCACCCCGCSGCTGGGCGGGAAATGTGCGCTGAGGGAACAGGGCCGCCCGCAGCCCCGCGGGCTCGGCACTGCGCTCCCGCCCGCACTTACACGGTTATGTCAGCTCCAGGTTTCACTACAGGCAGAGAATACCAAAAACACTGCAAGTTTGGACACTTGGGCTCATTCTAGTCCCCCGCCATTCTAGTCAAGCGGTGCAAGCATCAGTTAAAGATGTATTAAGACTATCCCAACCTAAGGGCAATCTCAAAGAGCTTGGCTACTTGGCCTAACAGAATAAACATTAGAGGAGGAAACGTCTAGACTTTTTGCTTCATAATGGATTCATAAATAAATYAGTGTTGTTAATGGAAAAGTACACAGGTGGTCTAAGAGTAAATGGATAGAAATGTCACCAAACATTCTCTCCATAAGAGAGCTGCAGCGAAAAGGAATTTCAGCTGCCACTGAAATGCATCTTGCTTTCCTGGAACCACGAAAAGTCCATTTCAGCCTTAGAGTGAAAATTTTGTAGCTTTGCTCACAGAGTAACTAATAAAGCTAATGTGCTATATTGTCTGACCAAGGGCCAGCATTCGAAAAGGGGGGGCTGCATGCTACTAGGATTTGCATATGYAAAAACTGCTGGATTGGGTTATAGGTTCACTGTGTTGCAGAGTAACTGGTGTGGGAAGGGACCTCCTCCTCAAAGGAGGCCCAGACACAAATTTGCACCAGTTTACTCAGGTCTTTGTTTCAACCTTGAAGATGTCCAAGGAAAGAGGGTCTTCAAGGAAACTGGGCAATCTCTCCAGGCAGCCTGGCCTAGARSCTGACTGTCCCCACAGGATGGATGRTCTTCCCTTCTAAACACTGAGATGTTCTCATTTCACTTTGTGCCTGCTGTCTTTTACCATCCCACCATACACCACCACAAGAAGCCTTACCCTATTTCTCTTGCAAACTGTAGGTACCAGCAAGGTGGAGGTCTCCTTTTAAGACCCTCCCAAAAGCTTTATTTTCTTCTGTTTCCCATTTCCTCAGCCTCTCTTCAGAGAGCAAGTGCTCCATCACCCAGACATGGTGCTATCTGCTGGCCTCTCCAGTTTATCCATGATTTTCAGGTATTGGGGAGCCCAGAACTGGACTAGTGTATAAATACCGTCTAGTTTGTGCACAGTAGCATGGGATAATCTCCATCTCCTGACAATACAGACCAGGTTGCTGMTGGCCCATGCTCAGATTGCTCTCTGCCAAAACCCCCATGTCCTCTCAGTACAGCTGCTCCCTGTGGYTGTAAGGGAGTGTTCCTTCCATATGCAATACTTCATGTTTGTCCTTGTTGAATTTCACGAAGTCCCTGTCACCCATTCCTTCAGCCTCTCYGAATAGCAAGGACACCAGCTGGTCCTCCACAGTTTGTGGGAAATACTGGAATAGGAAGAGCCTGAACACACATTACCCCATCTGGAATAAGGAAAGTGAATATTGCTGAAGGTCACTGCATCCCAGCAATATAATCCYRCTAAGTAGTACAGCCTCTGATTCCATTTTTCTCCTCATACCATCATCCTTACATCTTATCTAAWGAAGTAACATTCTCTTTTATCTCTAATCAAAATATGCAAGTAGTATCTGTACTAATTTCTGAATATAATACATAGATAGATTACATACATGGGAATAAAAAACAGTACTACCCTAAGATCTCACTGCCTAGTAATAGGTTCCTAATAGTACCCAGCAGTCACTGAGTTCTTGATGAGTTACAATTTTCTTATGAGTATCATATGAAATGCTGTATTTGTATATTAAGACCATACATTAATTAGAACCACTCAAAAATGAACACCAACACTCTGTCATTAACACATGTGACTGGCTAATAAGGAGGTGAGAGCATCAYGTATTTCACACATGTTGATAGATAAACTATCAGACACAGACTTGAGAAAGCCATTCCTCTTAGGAAGATACAGACACTACTCAGGTTCAGTTAACCTTCTGGAAGCACGTCTGACACAATGACCACAAACAGATCCAGACATCTTCCTCATTTACATCAACAAGAAAAGGARTCTTATTTGGAGGCTAGCTCTACCACAACTATAATTTCTTCTACAAATGACCTTGTTTGGCAGGTTTTGGGGCTGTATCATTTATAAAGTCCCTGTTTGTTAAAAATGAGTGTTGAATAGACCATGACTTTGCACTCTGATTTTTACCTTGCTTGAAGGAACTGCAAAGGATATCTGAGTCAAGAAA